TAAAATAAGATCTGTTCAATTGTTTCCATTGGAATATTGACCCCTCCCCTTCTGTACACACACACGCACACGCACACACAAACACACAGTATGTAGAGTTAGTATGAGATGCGTAGATAAAGTATAATATGATAGGCAACATACACACACACTATCACACACACAAAAGCTTCCCCACCCCCCCCACACACACACAAATAAACCCCACACTCTGATACTCATCCATACGATCACATTCAAGCACAAAAAAAAACCCACTAACGCACGCACCCACGCATACACCCATGCATACACACACGCTAACGAACACTGCTAATGTTAATATACGACAAAGTTATCATTGTTTATTCACTCGGTTTGCCTGAATACGTTGTGTTACTCTGTGTTACTCTTAAGTCTCGGTGGACAATGTAAGCTCTTTCATAAGAGGCCTAGTCGATATCTTAAGTAACCTTGTTACTCTTAAGTCTCAGTGGGGAAAAGTAAGCTGTTTCACGCAAGACGTACTAAGTATATTCATACTGTCCTATCTAAGGCCTTAAGGGACTTCCTGATTCTTTCCATGACTAGGCTCAGACTATCCCATTTTTTTTTCTCCAAGAAACATTTAAATACCTTTATGCTATTCTGTCCTAAACACGTGTTAAGTTGCTACGCTATAGGGTCCTAGAGCACATGTTTAGTTTTCCTTCAGAATCGTATTTGTATTTGATTCTTAACTGGGCTTGCGATGTAATTGATTCTCTTGGACGGCTGATGTCAAAGGTCACTGTGTGTGTTCTTTACGGATTGTTCAAGTTTAATGACATTTGTTTAATGGGGGTTGGGGGTGGGGGGAGACATTATCTATTCAGAAGAAAAATGCTTTTAAAAAAAAAATAATAATGTTTTTTTTTCTTTTTGCACAAAAGAGTAGCCAACAGCCTAAATTAAGGAATTTAAATAAATGTAAATTGTACAGTAATGCGATTTCATTTTGACTAATTTAGTTTTAGACCAAATTTTATCTTAAAAACCCAACCATAATATTTTTAATTTTTTTTTAATCCCAACCTCTCACTTCTGGTAGCCGGGTCCCGACGGCCACTTCGTTATGAAATTGAAGAAAATGTCTGTATCCATCGATGTGTCCGTCAATTGTGTTAGCTCAAATTTCTAACATTAAAAATTTATAACTAGATCTATTATTTGTGTGTGTGTGTGTGTCTATTAATTTAGTATTAAAATACAAGAAAAGTGTACCATAACAACAACAACAACAAAAGGTAGCTAAATACGGTCACGTTCCTAGGGCGACGAGGCGTGGTTGTTTATCTGATGAGAAATCTCTCTCACGTTTGTGTACTTCTCATGGGACGAAACCGATCAACGTTTTTTTCCCAATAAAACTTACTCGTTCAACTACCATGCTCAAAATCACTTTTTTTACAATCATCCCAATTATTGTTGAAAGAAAATGTAACTTTTGACGCTCTCCCCCCCCCACCCCCCCACACACACTTGTGATGTGCATCATCCACGATGTACAATGCCGTAAATCTTCTCTTTAAAGACACTGTAAACTAAATGGTGCTTAATTTCGTCTGAAGTTCTGCACACATGTAACTATTTAGTGACGTGCGTTACAGTAGCCTCGATTTGATTGTGAAATATTGACAAATCTCCCATCGAGCTTATACTCAAGATTCCAGTAGTTGACGCCAAAAGAGAGTTATGGTTAGTGTAGGGATTTACTAAAAGCGGCAGAAGAGTAGAATCAACAATTTTCCAGAAATGTTTGATTCACTTATTAGAATTAGAAAAAAAATAACAACAAAAAACAAACTAATCGCCATTTTGCTACCTGTATGTATTGTATATGTCATCAGAATACAAATCTGTGGCTCTGACCCCGTTAAGGGTCCGCCATTCTTGAAGACGTAGTTTGAAGCGTGGTTCAGTTTTTAAAAAAACAACGTTTTGTGAACACTGAGTATCAAAAGCTAGTGGTTTTTTTCCTATTCTTTTTAAAGCCGTGTACACATTCGGTAACTGATTGGAGAAGGGGTGGGATTGGGGGGGGGGTGGGGGCATAGCAGGCCCTCGACACAATCAACAAACGGGGACATTTTTTTTATTACGGCTATCTTGACAGTACAAGTTCTGGGACACTCTAACCACGCTACGAAGGCTGCCATGTAAGCGATCCGTCCATGACAGCAGTCCTTTGAGTTAGGCGAAGGGGGTGAAAGTTAAGACTTTGCGGGTGGGGTATGGAGATCGGGTGAATGAAGAGAGTGGATAAGGATTAGGCGAGGGGGTTGGTCGGGGGTCACAGAGGATGATGAATATAAGGGACAGGTAAGGATTTAAAGGAGGAGTCTGGGTATCTTAGAAGGAGGGTGCAGGTGAGGATTTGGGAAGAGGGTGGCAACATTGATATAATAAAACCCCGCATGATTCAATCGACAGGCAAAGGGCGTCTTAGTAAGTTCATTCTCACTGTCTTTGGTTTCCCACGTTTTTAACTGTTCTAAAAAAACACTTCAGGTCTAGTTCACAGCCCCCCTCTCTCAGATTGACAGCTGCCTGGGGCCTAGGCCTGGGCTAATCGGAGAATCTTTGTTTAATTTAATCTTTCCCACGTCGTTGTGTCAACACAGGCCACGGTGATAAGCAACTGTGTCTGTATTGTTGGATGGGAGTCGTCTTAAATTTGGCGACTCTAATCTGATCAACGTATTTATGATTACTCAGACGTTTCTTATCGGAGCATAACAATCGAAACATCCAAGAACTGGTAAATAATTAAAACCAATTGTAATGGAAGGGGAGGGCATGGGCAGAGATAAAGTGTAAGGAGATAAATAAGACATAATGTGTCCTATTAAAATAGTAATTTTTTTTTTTCGTTTTGTTCTGGTATCCATCTGTCACAGTGTGACGATGGTGTAGACTTCTCAGGACCAATTCGAAAGGCCTGGAATTTTTCTTTGGGAGAATAAGAGTTTTCCCTAGACTGCCACCCGCCTCCCACCTGAATAACCCAAGGCAGCATCATTGGTGGATGATACAGATTGGCATCATTAGCGTCGGGAATTTTCATCCTGTCAATGTTATCCACCTAAGGGACTCCATCTCTGGGTTTGATTTCAGAGTTCCCCTTCTAAGGTCCCATCCACTCGTATAGAGCTAAGCTTTAATTAAAAGATACATTCAAAATTAAAAGAAGTTTCAGCTAAATCCTATACATAGACAAAACACATATTTTAGAGAAAAAATGAATTTAAATGAAATTTGTGTTTTGTCTTATAATGTTGTGGGCAAAACCTTTCAAACCGCGACGTCCATATTATTGTCTAGGATTGTTATACAAGCTCCACGGTATTTCGCTTCTAATTATGTACTTTTTTCTCGTTTAAATAAATAATTTCCTAATGACATTATGCCACGTAATTCAATGGTACACTACATTTTTATATATCAGTTGTAACAAATCCATGTCATATTATAGAGCATCCACTGTTTTACATAGCTCGTTACCTTGAATTACCAGAATGAATAAAGGCAACAGTCAGTTTTGTTAAAAAATGGGCACGGTGTTTCTTGTGAGTTTCATCCCTCAGGGAGCAACTTTTGTTGAGACAATACACTTTTCAACATATCCTGTTATTTTGCTATAACAGTTGAAATAATCGAAAGAGGTAGATGATACGTGAATGGATCAAGTCGCCCGTTTCACTTACCCAATGGAATTAACGGCGGAACGCAACAAATACGCTTGAATTATTACACAGTTGTATCTTATCAAAGTGTGCTTTTTATTTAAAAAAAACAAACAACTAAACTCATGGTAAGCGGGCTGTTTCCCTGGCCAAGTATAGAAACGATTGGGAAAGCTGTGTTGTTATTGTTGACAATGCCCACGTCGTCTTGAACGCAGTTTAAGTAAATATATTAACGAATAGTGATATTAACTTCTCCATTCTTATTCTTTTTCTGTGGTCCACTTTTAGCAGGAAGCTGTCGAGGCAAGATACAGTTAACGTTTGGCATACAGTGCATTTTCTGTTGGAGGTTCATGGCATGAACTCTTATATGTCCCCTCACAGTTGTAGATCCAGTCGTCATTCCATGGGTCTAAAATCGAATTGCCTGCAATGAAACCCAAAGCTAAAAACAAATAAAAATGCACCCAAAAAAAAAAAAAAACACCTCCCTTTTCTCTCCTTTCAAGCCAATAATCAAACAGTAGTCAAATGTACAAGCAATCTTTGATCCCAAAACTACCACCCCTTCATTATTCCGTTTTTGTGTGTCTTGAAAACAAAGTTAAAAACAATTTCCCATTTCTTTCGAGTGGGTTTTCACCACACAATTCATTTATTTTAAATAGAATGAAGCGGGACCAATATTAAATGGACCCATTAAATCAAATTTAAAAAACAAAGTACTTCTCTGTGTGAAATATTGGTAATTCCTCAAAGACTTCCTTCCCTTTTATTTCAAATCTAATTTCCGTAGCGGACTTTTGTTGTGTTTATTCTCTTAGATCCGGGACCTGAGGAGTGGGCGTACAGTTTGGACGGTAATAACTTCAACATGACACATGTCCATATTAAGATTTAAATTCTTGTTGTTTTTTTAACCCCCATTGGAGCAAAGGCATATGATTTTTCTCACGTTTTCCGGTCTCTTGTAATTTTTTCTACCTCTTGACACCTCCCTACCATCTCTTGTACATTATTTTGTATCTCTAAATGTCAGGTGTTTCTTTAGGCAATTTTCCGACATCTTCATCAACGCAACGCGTAGCACTCAAGAAATAGAAATACATTGTAGATGTAAGATAACTGAGAATTCGTTGTAAATGTTTAAGATAGAAGGAATTGACATTCAAAAAGCAAAGTATATCTGGTGGTGTCCTTACATAGAAATATAACTACCGATATCCCGACAACATTCTCAATTAAAAAACAAGAGCTCTTTAGAGTGATTTTGATTAAAGTTAATACTTTATTTCAATATTTACTTATGTAGAAAGCTTTAGGAATGGTTAGATTTAAAACGAATCATTTAAAAAAAAAAATATGGTAGTGATCATTACTAAACGTTTTCTTTTGTGTTAAAGAAGATTGATCATTTATTTAGTACGTAATGGAATGCAGTGTTTTTCAGTACCATTTTCTAAAAATACATGACACATACTGAAATAAATGGGGAAATGAACAATTTTTTTTGGTACCATTTGACTGCGTTTGGAGATATACAATTACAATAACGTTAGGTGGTTGGTTCTAAACACTGACACCGGGATATGTTAAAGTTAGGTGTCATGTCTAGGTTGTGTGTTACGTCAGAGTCGTGTGTTATGTATAATTTATGTGTTGAATAAAAGTTGTTTATGTAAAAGTTTTATTTAATGTAAAAGTGTTAGTTATGTAAAAGAAGTCTTTTTATGTAAAAATCGTGTGTTGTGTACAAGTTGTGTTTTTGTGTGTGTAAAAGTTGTGTTTTAAGAGAAAGTTGTATTCATGTAAGTTTTTTTTTAAATTTAAAAGTTGTGTTTTAAGTAAAAGTTGTTTTCATGTAAGCTATTTTTTTGTTATTTAAAAGTGGTGTTTTAAGTAAAAGTTGTTTTATGAAAGTTTTTTTGTTATTTAAAAGTGGTGTTTGTAGGAAAAAGTTGTGCATTCTAGAAATGTAAAATGGGGTTTTAAACTTGAAAACTAAAAAAATTTTTCTGAATTTCGAAGTTGAAATGGACGGTCATATTTTAACTCTACATTAAAAATACATATGACATGAATCAGCAATTGTATACATGGCATTAATCATCAACTGATACCGAGGATCCATTAAAAAACTTGATACGACCCTTATGAGACCGCAATGTGTTCTTGATACTTTTTTGTCAAATGTATAACGCTCTGTTTTATAAATTTTACTTCTTCAAACAAAGATTGCAAAATTCTATTTCATATTTTTTTAAAATCCCCTATAAGGTAAAGTACTGATCGTGTTATTTTTTTTCCCTGAAATGAAGGATTATTTTTTCAAGTAGCTTGATTGACAAGGACTAAACATGAGCAAACACCAGAATTTTTGCAGGACGTTCTGTATATATGCTACTATTAAGGTATTAATATGCAATAGGAGACCAAAAATTTTAATCACAAAAATAAATAATTATCTTTTTACAGTATAAGAACTGGCGCATGAAAGTGATTAGGAGGGGGTTCCAGCTCCGGGTGGGACTTAATTTTGGGGGGCTTTATTGTTTTATCCACTTATAATAATTCATATAACTTATTATTATTTTTGTATTTTGTACTCATTGCTGTTTTTTTTCATTGAAGCGACAAAATCAAGGGGGCTCCAACCCCGCCCCCCCCACCGGGGCGCCAAAATATCTATAGCTAATGCACGGCATTTAGAATCATAAGTAGCACAACACGATGATGTTAAAACATACACATCCCGATGTTTAAGTTAGGATTAATCCTTGCAAGGAAAATAAATATAAATGTGCGAGTATAAATTACACGTCCGAATGAGCAAAATAGTCAAACTGTTCTTCAAAACCCTCCTCTATCACATCAACAGCATCTTCGGCTAATCCGTAATCGTCTGTTTCCTTTTCCAACTCGAAATAAACATTGGGGATTTCATGAACATCAGCTGATAGAGGGGAAGAGTTATTGTAATCGTGAGCACCTTTCTCCTGTGATTCTTCTTGCAATGGGTCCCCAATAGATGAAATAGTTTTCTCAGTTAACCTACTATTTGTAACTAGTGAGTTCGTGTCTGGTCGATTGACGTTGGTTTCAATTTCCTCAGAATTTGTTTTTTTCGGGGGTAGATGAACAATTTCCAGCATACTTTGAGCCTTGTTTTTCGAAGAACGCTCTGATAACGCAAGCGCCAACGAATGGCTGAATTCGTTCTTCATTCTCGCCTGCAGGTCAACATCCTCGTAGGTATCCACCACTCCGTTACATCCACCATCAGGTTCTGAACCTTTTTTATTAAGTTTAGCGTAGACGTTTGCGACATTGGCGTATTCATTACCCGAAGACGTTTCTGGAACTTTCTCGTGGTGCACGCCGGCGTCCGGGCAATCTACGGCGCTGTTTCTGCTAAGATTTGCCGAGCTTTCGTACACGGCATCGTAATTCGATTCTTCATCGCCGTCGATTACGTCAGATCGCGCAGCCGCAATCTCTTTGTTTCCGTCTTCGTATACCAAGCCGTCGTCATTTCCGTTATTAAACTGGATGTTTTCATAATCCTCGGTTCCGTCGCTCTCCGAAAGAGAATCGACTACGAAAGCTGGATTCGCCACTTCGTTATCGTTCACCGACCGGTTGCTGAAGTACTGGAGCCCATCACTGGGCTCGATCGCGATGACAAAGTTGTTGTTGTCTTTTATGACCGCCCCGTTGGCGACCTGGTAATCGACATCGTTGTACTCGCTACTGTCGTCATATTGCGTGGGGCTCGTCTCGGCGTTTCGAGCCGTTCGTCTGAGTAGACGACGCGTTAAAACGCCAAGCTTTGGTAGCTTGTCTAGGAGGTTTCTCTTCCAGATCAAGAAAGCTACAACGACGATGGCGACGAGAAATACGATCCCAAACAACACGCCAACTATGACGCCCGTGTTGTCGTCTGGAGGTAATCCACCGTTATGGCCGCCGTCGGGGTCATCCGTAATCCCTTGAAAGAAATCTGATTTCACCTGAGGCACGTCCCCTTCAACCAAAGATGTGGCCACCGTATTCACGCCATCAAGGGGTGGGGCCGGAATCCCAGGAGTTGTCGTCGCTGCAGTGCACAATGAGTCATTCCCCTTTGTTATTGACATCATTTTATTGTCGAAAATGCCACTTATATATTGGCTCCACTTTACGGCAACTGGGCCGTTGGAACACGCCCTGTCATTCACTCTATAGATAAAACAATCGGTCGTGCAGTTGCACGAGGACATCGGCTGTCTGTGGCATTCCAAGGAGCTGAACGTTGGAGACTTCAGTTCACACTCGAAGACTGGCGAAAACTTCTCAGATGTGTTTTGAGATTCGTAAAAGATGTCCTGCACCGTCGACTGTGATGTGTTAGCACCGCACATTTTGACGCCATCGTTACATAAACAACTGTAGAATCTGGGGGGGGGGGACGGACACACATGTTATTATATTAAATGATTGTATTATATTTGAGCGATGGTAACAAACAGAGCAAGTCTGAATATAGAAGAATTTTTATAAACTATCTACACCCGACGTAAAAATCATTAACAAAATAAAAAATCTAACAAGTTATAATATATGACTAAAATTTGTGCTATCTTGAATGAGAAGTGTTCAATACATTTTCGTCAGTACACTTTATTAAAATAGAAACAGCTTTAGGAAAATAATGATTTAGCAATAGTTAAACTGATGCTGAATAAAGATAGATAATGCTTTGAGATTCAAAATATTTATTTAATATTGACGGGCAACCCAACTGTGTCACACTCCCAGATTAGTTCATAGACAAACGGTATGGATAACTCGCGCAGTCGTTTAAAAGAAAATAGTTTTTTCTGAATTCCAAAAACTGATTAATTACATTAAATTAAAAGTAGTTGCCATTATAAATCTGTGACAATTTATTATTAAGATTTATTTAACCTAACATTGTTTTTTCAATCTAATAAATAAAATCAACTCTATTTTAAAAAAAAAATAGATTTAGAATTTTAAAATAATCAATTTTAATGTATTTCAAAATTAACTTACCCTTCTAATTCCGCAGGGCTTAACTTGAGTAGGTACAATTCCAAAGGTCCCACTGTCACATTAATTGTTAGAGCTGACTCCGATGTGGCTTTTCTACACAAAACCATCGCGATGATGACAAGTAATGGCAGACTGTGTTCATTCCACATCTTGTCTTTTAAATGGGATAGCCAAAGAGCATCACTTCATGGAAAATCCAGTACTGAAAGGATTATTTTAAAAACAATATTTTTATTCCTTGGGTTAGTTAGCTATTTTTTTTCCTGCATGTTTGACATGTCAAAGAAGAAGTGTTCTTTATACAGTTAAGATCATTTCTTGTCTCATTCCAGTTCAACATAGTTTTAAAATGTCTATTTTTTTTTTTTTTAAATTTATTTGGTTTTACCATATCGCTGTTAACAGAATATTGGTGCTACCCAGGGTAAGGCTAATGTGATAATTATTAAAATGGGCAAAACTCCTCTCCAAAAGCTTTTTTTCTGAGGTAAATTCTCCTTCACGTTATTATTAAAATGCAGCTTTTTAAATCAAACCATATATTTCTATATTACATTGTGTAAATATTTTGTATTAGAAAACTGACTCCTTGGCCATTTCATATACTTGAAATAAGATGCTGCTCTGAGCTTTCAAATAAACTAATAGCTGCCATTTTCTACTGTTGTTTTAAAAGCAGTTACCCCCCTTGAATTTCCTTATCTTTAGGATTTAAGAATGGGCTGTGATAAAATCCGGTCACCCGAAACTCTGTTATCTTTGTTGTTGTCATGAATTATTGTTATCAGTAAATAGCTTCCTTTACCCAAGCCAAGTTGAAAAATAGTCAAATTTCTAATGGCAAGTAATAAAAGACCTGATAGCTCCTATATACGATTGCCTTCAATCACACACGCACACACGCACACACACGCACACACATACACACACACACAAACACACACACATATATATAACTATATGTATAGCTACAGATCTATAAATGCATCTGAATTTTTATAATGGCCAATTTATCTAACGCCTGCATTTGTTTTGTTTTTTTTAAGAGTACCTATACATTTCTGACTTCGTTAAAGTAAATTTTTTCCACATTAACTCCTCTTCAGGAAAAAAATAATAATTGTTTTACTCCTTTCTTAATGATACGTGAATGTGGGGAAGGTGTTGGAATGCAAAACTGGGTGGGGGTGGCACTCCATAAATCAACTCGGAATTTAACCCAGAAACACGTTTACATATATGTCAAGGCAATGCACATAATACATGTAGATGTTTTACCTATCGAGATAACAATAATTCCAAAGCGTCTTAAACAGTAATTAAAAACTCATCTGATGTCAAGTATTTTAAAGCCACTTTGCAATCACACGTTAAATCTATTCTATATATATGATTATGTTTACTTACCCAAAACTTTATGATATTTCGCACATGATTTATATCCGTTTGACAATATCACTCAAGATTATTAAAAGATCAACTGCAACTCTACAAATGAAAAAAAAACTATTTGAGAAGACATATCTCAAAAAAAAAAAAACAAAAAAAACAACTGACGTTGTATTTTCAACTTCGCAAGACTAAAACTAAACTGAAAACCTGCAGCTGCACCAGCTACAAACAAGGCAGACCTGGTCGCCTCAATCCCACTTGAAACTAACACAATGGCACTGCAGCTCACAAAAACAGTTTCCCTCCTAACATGGGTACGCGACGCGAGCGGCTGACAACAAAGAAAATGAAAGTGCTAACCAGGGCATTATTACCTGTTATTGAAACAAGCCGCGCAACTGTCACCTGTACCACACTCTATGGACGGGCAACCCAACTGTGTCCCACTCCCAGATTAGTTCATAGACAAACGGTATGGATAACTCGCGCAGTCCTTTAAAAGAAAAAGAAAAAAAAAAAAACTATACAGAAAAAGAGTTTCCGGACCTGATTGCGCGTCAAGCGAAAGGTGCTCCAATCGGAGAGGTCCGGGTAGACACAAAATAACTAATCCCATGTCGGGCGATTCCCTCCACCCCCACTTTTTTTCCGGATTGTCACGGGTTATGAACATAATAACGGCATGTCACGCGTTGAAGGAATAACCTTCCAATCGGGCGTTCGTTTTACGTTTGTTGGTTGGGAACGAACTATGGCGACATGTTTCAATGGATGGTCACATGGTGACACTGGGTTAATAGAAGAAAATCGGACATTTTCGCTAGTCATTTTCAAAGGAGGCGGAGGGTTTTTTCAATGTAAACATAGCATTTCTTGAACTAGTCCGGAAACAGGGTTTCTTTCAGCTATATTTACTGCCCCCCCCCCCCCAAGTAAAGCCAAGTGGCCCATGGACCAAAAATATGTCAACAATAAATCAACTAGCACTGCTGGCACTGCCCCACCCCCTGGAAAAATCTGAAGTGCCCCCCCCCTCTCCCAGGGAAAATTTCTGAAATAATCATTGTCCGGAAGCTAAATCAACAATGTATTTTTAAAAGATACATTTATTTTTTTAAAAGTATATTACTCAAAGAAACTTCGTACTTGAGTACACTAAAAAGCAGTTAACACTTATGTTGTTTTTTTCTGATTTAACACCAAAAAGCTGGTCGTAGGTTGATGTCAGGGATTAGCTTAGTCAAAAGCTGTGAAGTTTTAGTCAACTTAACCATTAGAGTAACCGCGTACATTCGTGTGTTCTACAAGCCCTTTATATCATAGACAAGTTTATCTGTGTTATCCAACGAGATATGTAGTAGTAGCGTCAGGGGTGGCTCTACGGTTGCTGGTACCACGGGCAAGCTTAAATTTGGCGCCACGGGCAAATTTAACTTTGGAGATCTTTTTAAGTATAATCATTAAAAAAATTGCGCAAGGACAAAAACTGGGTATGAAGTAATGAGTTTTTTACTTAGGTTTTTTTAAAAACAAATAAGGAATAATAAAATTATTTTTTTAACTTGTATTTGGACAGTATGAGCAATCAGCTTACTGTGGGCAGTATAAACAACCTACTGTGGGCAGTATCAAAAACCTACTGTGGGCAGTATGAACAACCTACCGTGGGCAGTATGAACAACCTATATTGGACAGTATGACAAGCTACCGTTGACAGTATGAACAACTTACCGTGGAGAGTATGAACAACCTACCGTGGAGAGTATGAACAAGCTACTGTGGACAGGATAAACTACCCACCGTTGGCAGTATGAACTACCTACCGTGGGCAGTAGGAACAATCTACCGTGGGCAGTAGGGAACAATCTAACGTGGGAAAATTGAACAACCTACCGTGGGTTGTATTAGCCAATAATTAGCCTACCGATGACAAGTTTTTTCTAACCTTTAGATCAGCGATTCTCTATATTGCCCTTTATTTTTTCCTGCCATGAGTCGGGCGTGCAATGTTTTTTTTCCTGCTTTGGAAGATCGTTGATGGCGCCCTAAGCATATGGCGCACCGGGGAAACTCCCCGAGTGGCCTACTCTGAGTAGAGTCATCGTTAGCTTAATAATTCATCCCTAATTGAAGAGGCGTACGCTAATCCAAGGTTGAGAGTCATGGTAGTATGTTCTTGACCTACATGGTATTGACCTACATGTTCCTGACCCACATTGTGTATCGTAATTTTTGTCAGGTGCTACTTACAATTAATTAAAGGACAGTAGTGTAATTATATTCAAAATGTTAAAACAACACACTGGCTGTCTACGCCAGAACAAGGTCAATAACATAGGGCAAACTGCTAATTATTTTAGGAGCATTTCAGAAAATGCATAGCGCAAAATAAAAAATAAAAAATAAAGTTAAAATCTGGATAAAAGAGGCGGTAAATAGTAAATTTTTTTGACGATGTCTCCCTTAGGATATTCCATAATTTATTGGAAAATGAAAGAACCTAGGTATCCATTTTATTTTTTTTCTGATAACGTTTACCATTCTTATCCAGAAGTCAATATTTTGTTACAGCATTGTGAACCGCCGTTAAAAATATGACAGGAGTGATCATATTTTAGGTCATCTTGACATCCCATACTATAACTTAGCAAAGCTCTTGCTTTTACTTTCCAAACAAAGAAACCATTATTTTCTGAATGAAAGTTACGATGACAATACTTAAATGATAATATTTAGAGTTATTTTAGTTAAAATTTCAAAACATTGGAATAATTCAATCACTGAATCAAAGAAGCACACTGTTTACATAGGGTTTACCCCAAGCTATTTATAAATGTCAATAGTTTTTTAATATTTCTTTTTAAGGAAACATCAGTGCCATTTCATATAAATATTTTTGTGTTCCAAACTATCTATTGAAAATCATATTTTCTTAATGTACCGTATATACTCGCGTAAAGTTTTAACTTTAAAAAAATATTTTAAATGAAGAGTGCCATTTATCGACTCGACATCGTTTCCGCTTATTGCTAATCAGTTGGAAAAGTCATATATACATAAAGTTAGACTAGTCATATAAACGGAAAGTTGGAATAGTCATATATACGGAAATGTGGAATAATCATATATACAGAAAGTTAGAATAGTCATATATACAGAAAGTTAGAACAGTCATATATGCAAAAAGTTAGAATGTTCATATATACAGAAAGTTAGAATAGTCATATATACAGAAAGTTAGAATAGTCATACATACAGAAACCTAGAAGAGTCACAATCTCCCCTTCCCTCGTTTAAGCATGCGGGCAGAGTGCAATCCGTTGTTTTTAACTGTTTATTGACTATCTCGTAGTTTCTGATAATCGCTGTCCAGTTTTAAAATTGTTATTGAAATATTTGTTTGTCTATTTAGAAAATATTAATTTGGTCACAAAGGGCCTTGCAACTCCTCAAACTGTTGTTCGCCCTATCTATGGTCGCAAATGCTCACTTTTTTTAAGAACGCCAAACCTAAGGATGCGACCTTTCCACTGGTGCAACCTATGCGTTGTTTCAATATATCCAATGGTGCGACTTATTAGGTGTGCAAACTAGTCACGACCTATCTTAAGATTTAAAGTTCATGTTTTCAATAAAATTGTATATAGTGTAAGGCTATAAACATATGATACTACTAATGTGACGAATGTGCCACACAAACATTAACACTTGATAACTTTAACAAATATGTCCAGTCAGGTGTTCGCGTCTGATTTGCGTAAGGCAGATCAAATAAGTTAGAAGACAGACGAAAGAGGGCCACTTGCTGCTATTGAGTCTGCCAGCAGTGAATCGTGATTGCGAAGCCACTCAAGAAACGGTAAGGAGATTTGAACCGAGTCAACTTCTGGTAGAGGTTTCAGGAAATTACTTTAAAAAAAAACAAAAGCTGTTTAAACTAGGAAAATATGTGTGTTGTAAAGATTTATCAATCACGTGGGTTTAACAATATTTTTAATTGTGTTTTCGACGAGAGCAATTTTTTTAAAATGAAATGTACTTTTAACGATTTTACAAAATATGGAGGCTGAATATTCAGAATGAAAAAAAAAGACTTATTAAATGTCTATTTTATAAATTTCCGATTGGAACATTCAGAATGTTATCCTTATGCTGGACTTGAATGTGTGCATGTTGTTCAAAGCACATTATCATTTATTTGGATAATATAAACGAATCTAACCTTAGTATATCCATCTTAATATGCTTGACATGCGGATTGTTGATATGGATTGGGCTGTAACCCCGCCCCCTCCCATCCAGAAAAGATATACTAGAAATAGCATCAGCCAAAAGCATTCTTCAGAGCAAATAAATGTAAACAACCTTTTCCCATTCAATGGAGGGGTTGCTTTGATGAAGCGCTACACATTCAATGAGCGAAATATCAAAACCAAAAAAAAAAAGGGGGGGTGGGGGAGGGGTGGAGTGGAGGTATGTTGGAATAACACGGCTTGTGGTGAATACAAAATTAGGTCAGTACAAAAGCAATGAAATAATCAGCCAAAAGCATTCTTCAGAGAAAAAAAATGTAAACAACCTTTTCCCATTCAATGGAGGGGTTGCTTTGATGAAGCGCTACACATTAAATGAGCGAAATATCAAAACCAAAAAAAAAAAGGGGGGGTGGGGGAGGGGTGGAGTGGAGGTATGTTGGAATAACACGGCTTGTGGTGAATACAAAATTAGGTCAGTACACAAGCAATGAAATAAGTCATTCAGATAATTTTTTTAGGATTTTATTATAGCTATCAAGATAATTAATTTAGGCAAGAGGTCCTTAAGATGTTAACAAGTTCCACGTAAAATTGCATGATGGGAAGAACATTTATTTGTTGTTTCAGTGAGAGGCTAAGACCATTTAAACCAAACCTTGCACGGACGACTAAAATCAACCATTTAAATTTATTTTAAAAAATGTATATGAGATATGTGATTAAACTTGAGATTATTATTTCAAAATAATTCGCGATGGATCTGCCCTGTGATTCCCGCTCTTACTGCGCAACGTGATGCGGTCTACGTTGCTGCTTCCCCAAATCGTGCGTTTGATCACTTACGCTCCAAAATGCACACAAAAGAATATCTAGATGCTCAGGTCTGATGCTATGAGTGATTATATAAAGAAGCTGGCAGGAATGTTTGAATAGGCTGTGTCATTTCCAAGACAGGAAGACGTCACATCGGTTTACGGGAGGTTACTATTTTTAGACAAGGTTTACGTGAAACATGGCTGCTAACAATGTATTTCAGCTTATACAAAGCAGCAACAATTTAAAGAAAAATTCTTAATTAAAAGAAAATTTTGCACAAATGTTCGTCTAGTTTAAGACCCACTGGACTGCCTCACATTAATGTCGAGGTACCGAACAGATTTTGATCGAATGACTCGGATGTTTTATCAATACATTCCCGCAATTTAATGAGATTAGCCCAACTGAATGCCTGTACGTTTGCATTAATATAATTTCCGTTATTAAATGGAAAACACTATTGGTGCACCAAACGTGGAATGGGCAGTATTGTACACGCCCAACGTGGTTGTATTGCC